TTACTAAAAATCTGCTGTATGTTTCCAAATTCACTCAGGGTAATCAGGTTTTGCTTGAATTTTACCCTATTTTCTATCAAGTTCGTGACCTGCAATATCGGAAAGTGTTGTTAAAAAGAAGTCAAGATGGAGGATTGTACAAACTCAATATTACCATGAATAACACTGATAATGTTTGCATGACTGCTGGTGATGAATTGCATATTAATAATTATGATAATAATTCTTTGTCTTCAATAAGCTGTCACATTGTAAATATTAGGGTGTCTGTAGATGTGTGACACAAAAGACTTGGCCACCCTTCTAAAGAAGTGTTACTTTCTACATTAAAACATTACAATGTAACTCTTTCTGATATAAATAAAGAACATATATTATGCAAAGCATGTCAACTTGTTAAATCACACAAGCTGTCCTTTTATGACTCACTTACTGTTTATAAACAACCATTAGAACTTATAGTACCAGATGTGTGGGGTCCTGCTCCTGTGTATTCTAATGGGTTTAGGTTTTATGTTGCCTTTACTGATGCTCACAGTAGGTATACTTGGATTTATTTCTTGAAACAAAAATATGAAGTTAAATATATTTTTCTTCAGTTTCATAGACAGGTGGAAAGACAATTTGGTGTCAAACTCAAGGTTTTTCAGTTAGATGGAGGAGGCGAGTTTGGTGCTCTTCAAGCTTAAATGAAAGAGCAAGGTATAATACATATGTTCCCCTGTCCTCATACTTCATAACATAATGGTTTAGTGGAAATGAAGGATAGGCAGATAGTTGAGGTAGGTCTTTCTATGCTAGCCCAGGCTTCTATGCCTTTTTCTAGTGTTGTTTTTCTTATTAATCGATTACCTACATGTGTGTTGTCTGGTATATCACCATATGAGAAAATTTTTCATCAAGCATCATATTACAATTTTTTAAGAATTTTTGGTTGCACATGTTACCCTTTTTTGAGACCTTATAATCAGCATAAATTTCAGTTTTGTTCTTCTGCCTGTGTCTTCTTAGGGTATTCACCTGCTCACAAGGGATATAAATGTTTAGACTCTAGTGGTCGTGTCTATGTGTCAAGACATGTTCGTTTTGAAGAAAATGAGTTTTCTTATCAGCATCACCAAAGTTTTCCCACTGTTTCTAGTCTGCCAGTATTAAACAGTCGAAAGCACTCAAGTGTCAATAATATTTCTCAAAATAGCTTGTTTTATCCTTCTTTTCTTTCCATCCCTACAAGCACACATAGTCACAAATTTATCTTACCATCTACTACACCATCAACATCATCATCTTCACCACATGTATCATTTTCAACACAACAACTCATCACATCTCCATTTCTTTCTCCAAATTCATCACATTCAAATTCCCATTCAAATTCATCATCTTCTACACCATCATCATCATCATCTTCACCACATGTATCATATTCATCACAATAATTCATCTCATCCCCATCTCATCGATGCACCTCAAAATCAATTGAAACAACTACTTCATCACCATCACCATCTCCACCTCCATCATTACCACCTTCACCTTCACCATCACCACCACCATCTCCACCTCGGCTAGTTCAGAATGCTCATCCTATGGTCACTCGTAGCAAAGCTGGCATTTTTAAACCTAAAGTGCTGCTTACTGAGACAAGTCCTCAAGAGCCAGCAAATGTCTATGAAGTATTGCAGCATCCTGCTTGGTGTGAGGTTGTTCAAAGTGAATACACTGCTCTTATGAAGAATGATACGTGGGAGTTAAAGCCTTTTCCACCAGCACGCAAAGCAGTAGGTTGTAAATGGCTTTTTAAAGTTAAGAAGAAGCCTGATGGGTAAATTGAAAGGCTTAAGGCTCGTCTAGTGGCCAAAGGGTACTCTCAAATGGTGAGAAGAGATTTTTCCAAGACATTTAGTCTAGTGGATCGAGCGAGTACAATAAGAACTATAATGGCAGTTATTGTTATAAAAGATTGGCCACTTAGACAAATTGACATCAACAATGCATTCCTCAATGGGAGGCTAACAGAGGAAATATACATGTGTCAGCCTCCAGGTTTTGAGCAAAGAAGTGAAGATGGGAAGGAGTTGGTATGTTGCTTGAAGAAGGCTCTTTATGGGCTTAGACAAGCACCTAGAGTATGGTTTGAGACCTTGAGAAAGTTTATGGTTGAAATATTTGACTTTGTTGCTTCAAAAGCTTATTCTTCTCTGTTTATCAGGAACTCAACATGTTCTCAAGTGTTATTGATGGTATATGTAGATGATATAGTCATCACAGGAAGTCAGGTGATTGAAGTGGATGTCATAGTGCAAACGATTAACAAGGAGTTCTCTCTTAACGATTTAGGTGAGCTAGAACTGTTTCTTGGAATGCAAGTTGAACATTCTCAAGGAGGCTTGTTTTTTAATTAGAAGAAGTATATCTTTGAGCTACTAAAAAGGTCAAGCCTAGATGAATCAACTCCCACTCCTACTCTCATGGTTGTTGCTTCTAAACTCAAGGCAAATGATGGATAATTGTTTGGTGATGTCCATCTTTATCGTAGTATTGTGAGAGGTTTGCAGTATATATGCTTAACAAGACGTGATATAGCCTATGTTGTTAATAAGGTTAGTCAGTACATGAACAGTCCGTGTGATACTCATTGGAGGGCAGTGAAACGTATAATGAGGTATCTCAATGGGATACTTGAGTATGGGTTGTTTTTCTCACAAACTAAAAACTTTAGTCTAGTCTGCTACAGTGATGTAGACTGGGCAGCATCGGTGGAAGACAGACGATCCACAACAGGCTACTGTGTATACCTTGGAGGTAATCCAATTGCATGGTGCTCTAAGAAGCAAAGCGTTGTATCCAGGTCTACATCAGAAGCAGAGTATATGAGTCTTGCTAATTCTGTTTCTGAGTTGATTTGGATTGAATAACTACTTGGTAAATAAGGATTAGTGTAACTGGAAAGCCAGTTGTGTGATGTGATAACACCTCTACAATCTCTATGGCAGTAAATCCAACACATCATGCTCATATAAAGCATGTAGAAATTGACATTCACTTTGTGAGGGAAATAGTTTTGGCTGAACAACTCAGTGTTAATTTTGTTCATTCTGCAGAACATATAGCTTATATACTCACCAAACCTTTGCCACCTGCAGTATTTAGTGACATACGCTCTCGTCTTGGTGTAAAGTCTTGGGCAGAGATCAATGGTACCAGTCATATAAAGCAAGTCTACCAGCCTTCTGAAGCAAGTCTGAGGAAGCCAGGAAAATGTTGAATTGGTAATTCAGATCAGTAGAAAATCCAGAGAATATTAGAGTATTATGTAATAAAGGTTGTTATAACTGTTTTGGTTAATCTATTATAACTGAAGCCTATTTAGTTAGGCTAATAAGTTGGGCTGGTTGGTGTTATAAATAGTGGGCCTGCCTGTCGACTATGCAAAGACATGAGAATATTTTTGTATCTTTCCTAAAACTTTGTATTTTTTGCTATTCTGGAATAACATCGAGCACTGTTTTCATCCTTACTTATCTTCTTCTCTCTTTCACTACCTGTAGTCCATAGCTAGGTTATTAGTAGCTACTTTGATGGTTTCCTGTTATAGTAAGAGCTCGTCGATGACGGTTAGGTTGTCTCTGGTTTTAGAGAATCCCGAGAAGATCTTTTCAATATCACTCGTAGTCTGACTAGGTTATTAGTAGCTTTACCCTTGATTAACCGACCGAGTCGAGTGAAGAACCTAGTCTGACTAGCAAGGATTTTGGAAGGCGAAGCGATCGGTATGGCTATTGTGAAATAAGAGAACCGGGTTCAATGGAAGTTGGAAAAGAGCGGCGCCGATGAGTGTTTGAACGTGAGGGAGAACTGAGTAGAAGAAGCCATATTCCTATGGCTTTCGGTAGACTGAATTGTTTGAGATGAAAGGAAAGGGCCTGGAGTGGATAACATTTTACTTAACGGCGTTGTTTATGCTGCAATAGCCTAATACAAGTGGATCACTGGATTGTATGTCATCCAAATAATATTGTGTTTGTATTGATTATAAAGTAATATATATTCTAAATACTTATAATTATTTGAAAATGAATGCTCAATTACCTTACTGCAGTCACTGGTGCTCGAATCTATGACTTCTAAAAACAACAACAATTCTTTTAACCACTGAAGCATGTTGGTTTGTATATTTATTTTTAAAATTGTTTATATTTGATTTGTGTTCATTTAAATTTTTAATATTATGTTTGTTTATTATTTTCAAAATTATTTGTGTATGTTTATTTAATGTTCATTAATATATTTGTTTAATATTCGTTTATATGTTTACAAAAATATACTTTTTAATCTTAAACGTGTTCATTTACAAGTTAAAAATAATAAAATTATGTCACTAATATTTAATCTTCTTAAACTTCATAGTTTAAACTCTAAAATTTATTATGTATTCAATTTAGTTTATACATTCATCAATATTTAAAACGCAAAAAAATAAAAGGTAAATAAACTTCTAAATAAACTATTAAACGAGTTTAGTTGTAAACATAAACGAACAAGCTAATAAATGAGCTCATTATTAAACATAAATAAATCAAACGTATTTCTATTTATTCATTTGTTAAATAAATATAAACAATTATTTATATTTGTTTATTTAATTTAATTTAATAAAAAAATATTATATAAACCGTTCCCCAATATATTTATCGAAGGTTGAGTTCATTTACACAATATTTTAAAATTAATCCTTTACAAATTTGCTTCCATGTGAGTATGGAGGTTATTTCGTTGGCATTTACCAAAAGCAAAATAGTAGAAAATAACCCACAAACGTCACTCTCTCACACGCGCAGAATATTCAGCGCTTTTTAAATCTGACTATGATTTAGAAGCTACAGGGTCGACACTGAAGCACCCTTTCTCTTTCCGCCACCTTTCTCGTCAACTTCCTCCCCCCACCACCTACATAAACCCTTCCTCATCAACCCTTTCTTCTCATCAGCCGCCGCCTCTCTAATTTTCATCAAACATCAATACCTCGCTTCATTCTTCTTAACATTTGCTTCTTCTTCTTTTTCATTCTATGGAGACCAACTCTCGCACCCTGGAGATCACACTTCTGTCAGCAGAAGATCTGAGAATCTACAACAAATCCATTAAAAACAACGCTTTCGTCGTCGTTTGGACCGACGCTTATAACTACAAGACGACGAAGATCGATGCAGACGGAGGGAGCTTTCCTTCATGGAACGATAAACTAGTGATGCCCATGCCCATCCACACGCACTTCGTTACACTCCAAGTCAAATGCAAGGCTTCAATCGGCGGCGATAAAACAGTCGGAATCGCAAGAATACCGGTGACTGATTTCATTGGAGGGTATTATCCCGAGAATCGTTTACAGTTCTTGAGTTATCGATTGAGAGATTCCAAGGGGGTGAAGAACGGAATCGTTAAGGTTTCCGTTAGGGTAAAAGGGGCGTTACAAGGTTGTTCTTCACAGGCTGCGGCGTCTGGGCTTGGAATCGCCGTTGATGGACGTAATGATTCGGGAGTCGTTACTGGGATTCCAATTTGGAATGGTTATCCATATGGATCTTTGTTTAGATGATTTTCATGGAATTAGATTGAATCATTTTTTTTCTAGGTTGTCCAAACATAGAGAATGCTTATAAATGGTAGCAGGAAATTTCTTCGTTTGGAAAAGAAGGAACAAATGTTTTTTTTAGATTTAATTGTACAAATAAATGTACTATACCGTATTTTTGTGTTGAATATATACCTACATTGTTTTCTGATTACCCTTTTAGGTGCACCTTTTTAGGTGATCGGGTCGTTAACGGTGTTAATTTTCACGTTAAGTTATATGTGTCACAGACAACTGTCGTTTCGATGTCAAAATAATTTCCTTCTTCTCGGATAATAAATAAAGGAAAATTTGTAGCGTAGAGAAGTAGGGTCGAATCCACAGAGACTTGGAAAATTCTTAATTTATGTTTGATTGGTCTATGTCAGGCGTGAAAGATAGTAAAATGAGGGGGGTTTTGGTAGAATGCGATTTAAGTAGTAATAAAAAATGATTAAATAAATAAAAACAATTAAAGTAAAAAAATAAGAGAATAAAGGTTGTGAATAAATACGGTAAAAATAGCCTCAAGCCTTGCTTTGACTCAATTTCTTTTAGATCATCGAATAATATTTTCTCTTCGGGATTCACGTCGGTTACTTTATCTACAAGGGCTATCCCCATAACTCTATCTTGTATACCGAATACCCAAGGCAATCTTTGATTCCGGCTTCGGGAATTGATTCTATCAACATCTATTGTCGTATACCAATTACCGTTTAAGTTCGTGGCGACGACTCGGATTGTTGCTTCTATAACCGTCAATTCCGATCTCAAATCCCTCTTGGCGAAGCTATCTCGCCAAGTGTGTTCCCAAGAAGTCGAATTGTTTTCTATAAGCCGAATCTTCCTCCCAAACGTTTAATCGCAACAACCTCTTGACCAAAGTCAATCTTTTATTTTGAAAACTGTTTTGATTTTGAAAAAGAATAAGCACAGAGATTGAGAGAGATTTCCGAAGATATTAGGGACCTGTTTCAATTATCCCGTTGGAATTGAGTCATCGCGACAGCTCTCGGCTTATGAAAAGTTTAGCTAAGCATGACAAAAGTCATACTTAGCATATTAAAAACAAGTTAGAAAATAAAGAAAAATAAAAGAACTTGAAAAGGAAAAAGAGAAAACTTTTATAAAAACTAGAGAGAAAAGAAGAATGTATTCCGAATGATGAGTTTAGGCTTACCCCAAGTGGGTATTTATAGCCTCTCAAAGCCTAAAGGATAAGCAAAGAAAATAATTAAATAATACAAAAGATAATTGTTTTTAAATTTAAATTCAAACTTAAACTAGACTCCTAATGCAACTCTACTCGTCAATCTTCCAGAAGGTGTGAGTATGAAGTCTTCTAGAAACCGCCGCTGACTGGACCTTCTAGAAACTGCCACGTCAGACCGCGTCGTGCCCAGAGTCGTGCCCATGTCTCCAGCCGTGACCAAATAATAAAAAAATGCAGAATTCGCCAGTTTTATCACTAATTCTGGAAAGTAAGGACCTGTACGAAAATAGGCATAACACAACCAAATCAGCAGTAATAACTCCACAAAATCGAAGAAATAACGAACAAAGATTAACGATTCTGAACACTCATCAAATTCCCCCTCACTTATCTCATGCTTGTCCTCAAGTATGATTAACCAATTCAGTCAAACACTTCATTAAACGTTCTTTGTCAAGTTTCACATTCAAGGAAGCAAGGCAGAGACCACAATAACTATTCAAGTCAGGAAATCAATCAATTGAACATCACCAATTGGAACAAGTCAAGTACAATTGTAATATCCATTCATTCATTAATCTAAATGCTCATAACTCAACACCTTATCGGGATTCACTCAAATCACTCAATGTGTTTGGGGTAAAGAAACGCTCAATGTCAGAATTTACACGGTATTACCATAAGCCTGCAAGTAAATCAAATCTCCACTACTAATAAGAACAAGATGCATAAATCAAAGGGTCTTTTATTGGTTGTAACGGGGCTTAGGTAAAGGTAGGGAAAATGCTAAATATAAGGCAAAAAATTTAAGGCAATGAACTAACAAATAATAATTTCAACTCCATTATTAAGCACAACAAGATCTACATATATTGCATTTTTTTCTCTTTGTTTTTGTTTTGTTTTCCATTTCGAACAACCTTTTTTTCGTTCGAACTTCTGTTTTTTTTTGTTGCATTTAACCCCTTTTTTTTCGATGGAGCATACAATGGTAAAATTATTCACTTGCACGGAAGAAGGTAGAAAAGAGGGATAAAATAAAAAGGCTCGGGTTTATAAATATGGTGAAAACAAAGAAACGAGAAAATGCTCAAAAGTGTTTAACGAAAATGCATGGGTAGGCTATTTAGTGGGGAAACGAAATGGTTAATCCTAAGGTACCCAAATCATCTTTAAGCATCATGTTCATGTGTAATCTCGACAGTATTTAACATGCAAGTTCTAGAATACCAATGCCAAATTCGACACACTCAATCAAACAAAATGAGAGCAAAAATGATATGCTCGTAAAGGCTCAAATCTCACCAAATTGTTTCATGCATTGAGTTAATCACATTTCAACCAATAAAGTCATGGAATATCACAAAAACACCAACTTATCACAATTCATGCTATTCGATATCAAGAACATCTTAACCTAAACAATTATGTGTTCCCAAATAAGCATAACATTCAAAAAAAAATTCAACAAGATAAATAAATTCAGTGAAGTTTCCGCAAATTCAACCAACACATACTTGAATCGAAACATAAAGATAAGCAAAGGGAAATTCAATCCTACACTCTACTCTACTCCCCCTCAATTAAAGCGTTTTGCCTCAAAAAGAAAAAAATTAAAGTGCAAGAGAAGGATCAGAGTACTCCCCAGATTTAATGTCGACCACAGCCGCGATGAGAGGTGCTAGGACGTAGGTAGGAGAGGATCTCTGTGATGTTCGTCTCGATGGAGTAGAGGCGGTCATGGACTTCATCCATTTGGGTTTTGCTAACATGCGCCACCCTCCTCCAAAGGCTTTGCTAACGTGCGACATTTAATGAAACGGTATGCACGGGCTGGGATTTTTTTTTCTGCTTTGTGTGACTGTTCACTGCTCTGTGGGTTTCGAAATTGGCATAGTTCGAATGAAATTTCCGCAATTCTTCGTCGTTTAAGTTTGAAAAAAAATATTTGGTTCCTGGAAAATAAAATAGAAATTAAATTAAACATGTTTGATCGAATAAAAATGAAACAAAAAGTGAAGATAAAAATAAAAAATGTAACGAAATTGAAAACAATGGGTTGCCTCCCATGAAGCGCTTTTGTTTAATGTCGTTAGCTCGACGACCTGATTCAGACTACAGGTTCTGTAACAGACACTTCCACTTCATTCGCTTTTTCCAACTAAGAAGTTCTTTATGAGAAATTTGAAAATTCTTACAAAGATTTCTTCGGATATTTCCCAATTATAAAATCTTGTCCAGAAGAATGGCCGTCAAAACATCTTTTTTACCAAAAAATGATTTCTTCAAACGACTCCTTGATGATTTCGACTTAATTTTTAGTGCCTGCAAAAAGGAAGGTAAATCTTTAGTTTTTAAAGGAGTTAAGATCAAATTTGAATCAACAATTGAAATATTTTTCAACTCCCTTATGTCGTCTTTGTTATCATCCGACTCCTTGCATAAATCATCAACCAAGTTATATTTACCATCAACAAGTTCAAAAATGCCAAAAAAATTAATACTATGAACGTTATCCGGACATCTCATTGCTTTATAAACATCAAATTTTAAGATCTCACCTTCGAACTCCATAGTAAGAATACCTAATAGAACATCAATTTTTGCATTTGTCGTGCTCAGAAAGGGACGTCTGAGGAGGATTTCAGAACCAATGTTGCTACGATCATTTTCCATATTAATCACATAAAAATCAGCAGGGAAAATTAAATTTTCTACCTCTACTAGAACATTCTCTATGAGTCATTCAGGATAAATAATTGATTTGTTGGTTAGCTGAAGTGTAACTCTCGTCTCCTTCAAAGGCTTGGTGTAAATTAAATTATAGACGGAGAGAGGCATTACATTGATAGAGGCACCTAGATCGCACATAGCTCGCTTGATTTTAACCTCACCAATTTTACAAGGTATTGAAAACATACCTTGGTCTTTATACTTCAGTGGAAGCGGTCGTTGGAAAACTGCTGAGACATTCACGCCTAAATCCACTTTCTCGACCCCGGTAAGCTTCCTTTTAGTCTTACAGAGATCCTTCAAAAATCGGCAATACCTTGGAACTTTTCGGATAACCTCGAAGAGAGGTATGTTAACTTCCACCTTCCGAAGTATGTCTAATATAACCTTTTCCTCAGTCTTTTTATCCTTTTTAACTAACCTTGATGGAAAAGGTGGTGGCACGTCGTAGAGAGATGGTGTTGGATCATCCATTTGTTCTTCATCATTCTTTTTCTGGGGTCCTGCGTCATTGATCTCCTTCTCTCTTTGGATTGCCTGGTCTGATGGGACAGGCGAAACCACTACTGTACCAATTCGAATAGTGATGGCGCTGACGTTTTCCCTCGGGTTTACTTCATTTTGAGACGGAAGCTTACCTTGTGATTCCAAACGGCCTAAGGATTACGCCAGTTGGCTTATCTGTTTGTCCATCTCTTGGAAGTGGGCTTCAGTTCGAGTCTGGAATTTCTCCTGGGATAGTGCTAACCTCTCAACAATCGATTCTAATGATGTCTTTTGCAGCTGTTGTTGTGGTAGAGGTGGTCTCGCTTGATAGCCTTGATTTGGTCTTGAGTTATGAGCATAGCTGAAATTCGGATGATCCCTCCATCCTGGGTTGTATGTATTGCCGTTGGGATTATAAGCTCTTTGGGGAGGTCCCGAGAAATTCCCAACTGCGTTGACTTGAGCTGCTGCGTCGTCTTGTATCTGTGGACAACCATCTGTTGGATGATCAGGTAGTGCACATATTCCACATAATCGGTTTTGTCCTGTCTTTCTCGCAACAAGA